TACTGCTTTGCACTATTTAATCCACACTTAAATGTTTGGCTGCTTTTCATTCTATAGAGCTTCCCCCTGTCTAGGGTAAAGGGGTGCTAAAGAAGTTAAAAAAAAAAAGTACCTACATGTATAGATAACAGAGAAAGATTTATACACACACAGACATACATATATATGCACACATATTACAGCTACATGTAATTCCCCTTTCCAGGCAAAGATGGAGTATAATACCAAAAAGATACTTTCAAGAATTACTATACTAAAAAAAGGTTTTTTTTAATATAAAAAAAAATTACAATACTAACCATTAAAACAAGTTTAAATTCTGTAGTCAAAAGGTGATCAACAGGTTACAAAAGAAAACCAAAACAAATTTGGTAATGAAGCTGCTTTGAAGGATAGTAATACTTTTGAGAAAAAATTTAAGATTTTTCTTTTGAGCCAGGTATTAGTAACATAAAGACTGCAAATGTACTTTAAATATTAACATGCCAGGAAATGACGATTACTACCAATATGCCATGCAGAAAACAGAAATTATGACTTAGCTATGTAATTAAAAGAATATTTGATAAGGTTTACCTAGCACACGTGTTTTTTAAGACTTCTGTTTTTTCAGGTTATATCATCCACTACATTGAGTATTACTAAGATTTTTAAACAGACACAGTGACTGTAAGATACGACAGTATCAGAAACCCTCCTATATGCAAGTTTCACTGTCAATTTAAAGCAGTTACCAATGGTCAGTGCCTCGCGACTCCCACTTCTACTGTATGAGACTCCATCTCATCAGGTCTTGGGAAGGTAATGTCTCTGGAATTGGCTAATCTGAAAAGGTACCTCCCAATCCTTTAAAGTCAGAGCTATTTCTGTCCCTTTCAGGAACAGGAAATAGTGATTAAGGAAGTCGCACCAACTCACACAATGAAGAAAAGAGAACACAGTATATAAAAGGTACTCTCCTAGGGGCCCTCTTTAGGCAGTCATCAAATATTTTAATATTTCTATCATACTGAAGATTCTGTGCTAGGAAGTGAGGAAGATGCAAAAAATATACATATATTTGAAAAAAAAAAACAAACCTCAAAGAGTTTAACAATCCAGCAGGGAAAAAGAAGACATCAATACATAAAATAATATCTAACAACAAACACCAACTGAAAGGAACAAAGGTACTAGGGCACAGACTTACAGAAAGAAGGCAACCTTAAAATCCTTGAAAAACTAGGTATTTCTCTAGGGGCCTATATTTTTCAAAGTTTAGCACAATTTTGATTTTTTTTTTTTTGGTCTGAATAGATTTCTAATAATATGAATGAACAGTTAAGTCAGTTACATACTCACTACATTGTCAATATTTAAACTTTGTCCCCTAAATACAGCTTAGAAACTAGTTCAGAGTCAAAAGATGAAATGAAATTTTCCTTCCATTTCTTTTATAAAAATTTCAAGTGAGGTCTTACAAAATTCACAAATTAAATAGTCACAGTTTCAGTAGCATCTTAAGTCAAAATCAAAGGGACAAGGGCAGAAATAAATTCTAATTAAAAATACTAGGGTGACCGCATATAAGACAAAATTTGACACGCACTGACTAAATACTGAAATACCTGGCACTGCATCTCCTCAGTTCTGATTTTCAATCCAGCCGTGGAACTCTCCGTTTCTCCATTTACCATGCCGGGCTCCATGGCCAAGAAATCTAGCGTTCTCATTGTGTGGACATAAAGATCCTTGTTTAACTTAAGGGCCGCCTCTAGTACCAAAATAGAATCAGAGGCTTGTTCTTTTAGCTACAAAAATTCAACAAACAAATTATTAAGATACAAAAATGGCAGCACTGGACTATATTAACCAAAAGATATTTACAGAATACCTAGTGGCTCAGCGTACTAATCTATTTTTAAAAATGTTTCTAACATAGCAAAAGTGCAATTTTATCTGTTAAAATTAAGTTATCTTAAGATTTTTTAAAAAGTAGGTTCCTATTGTGTAATCAGAAAATACAAATTGGAAAAGATTGATATCTTTTTTTCTATAGAAAAGTTAATGAAGAAAAGTGTTTTAAAGATCTGCACTGTTCCATTGATTTATTCAAGAAATGTCTGTATGCTTCAATGTGCCAGCCATTTTAGTAGGCATTAGAGAATAATAATAAAATAATGCAGGTTTTTTGCTTCCACATTCAAAATACATTATCTGCTTTATATAGATAAGACTGCTTCCTATCTTCCCTCTCCTCTCCCAGTCCCCGCACTTTACACGATATCTCAGGCACATTGCAGGCGTTAAATAAAAAATTACAGAAATCATTGTTATATTATGGGAACTAGCATGTTTCTACTTTCATATTAACTAGAGTAATTTAAAAATTATTTTTCTAACTATAAAAGTCATTTAAAATATACGTTTATTGTAGAATTTGTGGGGAATGTAAAAGATATCCCCTGTAAGAGTGACTTCTCAAGTCTGCTTAAGTATTGTGAAATGTTCACCCACAGAAATGGTGGTAAAGCACTGTCTTTAACATTGAAAACATGTACAATTTAGAATATTACCAAACTATGTTCTGATAGTAAAAACCTAAACGTCATTGGAGCTATACCTTGCCAACCCTTACACATCTAAGACCAGAAGTATCTACACATGCGCTATACATGCCCCAGGAGGGTTCAAGTGTAACTGATGCCAATACTCACCACTTTCAAAATATTTTCTGTTAACTCTTTCTCCTGTTGCATCTGATTCATACTAAAAAAGAAATGATTGAATGTCCAAAAGAGAAATGATCAAATGTTACTTTAAAGACTGGAAATTCAAACCTTAAGATCATTCTTGAAAGCGAGGTTGAATTTACACAAAAATGGTTTTAATGCCATTTCTTTTCATGCTTAAAAAATAAAAGCTCAGTTATGATGATGCTCCTTTATTTATCATCATTTTCTCATTCGCTTTGTGTTAAAAAGAAAAAAAAACCTTCAATTTAAAAATAAAACTTATTGGCAGCAAAAGCACATTTATATCAAAGTTAGGAACATGCTCTCTAGCTCCAAATCTGGGTAAGTTCTACCTGGAATTTAAGAATGAGGTTTACAACTCCAGATATGATCAAACAATTATAATTAACTTTTGTATTCTATAATTTCTCACATATGGAACAAATATATATTCCCTTCAAATAAATTTAATTAAATGAAAAATACCTTCGGACTTGGAGCATTTCAGCTAACATGGAGATAAAAGGTACAATTTACAAAGTGTCCCCCTCCTTTTTCAGAGCTCTCTGCCCTAGACAGCCAAAACACTACGTGATTCTCTCACCCTTCTAACTCCTCCAAACCCACCTTCATGTAGGCCTTCTGCTCCCCAATTTCTGCTCTATTCCTTCTGTACCAGGAGTGATTAAAAACTTAAAAAAATTTTTTAAAATTCTGATGAAAAGAGTGCCAAGTAGGGTTCTATCTGCCAACTTACACACTTAACTGAGGAGGTCCAGGTTTTGCCTGTTTGACAGGAAAACTACTTTGAACAATTGTCCTAATCGCCCTGAAGAAAAGACAAGAAAAACAAAATGTATGTAATACATTATGTCACTTCAAGTATTTTTTCAAGTATTTCTTAGAAGATTTGTAATATAAACTATCTAAAGTTCTAATTGACAGATAATAAAAACTTTGTAAGTCATCCATGTTTGTATCAGAATGCTTTTCATCTATGCGGTCATAAATTTTCTCCACCATCAGATTCACCATTCCCAAAATCCTCCGAGAGATCGCTAGAGGGTCCTTAAAAGCATAGCCCTGAAAGCCAGAGTGCAATTAAAAAGAGGCTGCCCAACACATCTTAGGTTTATGAAAACATGTACCATCTGTTGTAGAGAAGGATAGCCATGGCAGTGGTCGGAGGTAAGGTGTCCAGGTCCATGTCCACATGCTTTGTCCCAGGAGGAACTTTACTGATGCACAGCAGTTCATTCAGTAGCATATTCAACACTGGAACAGACAAACTTAAAAGGAAGAAGCAAAAGACATGCAGGCTGTATAAGCAGCACAAAACACACAATTCAGTGTCTTCACTGAAAATAATCTTATTGTTAAAGGGCTAAATCTACACGGCCATTTTATTAACCTGTCTGAACAACTTACACCAATATACATTTACCGATCATATTTTAAAATATTTTTTAAATTTTTATTATGAAAACAGTTTAAACATATACAAAAGTAGACAGAATAATACAATGAACCCCAATGTGCCCATCACCCACCTTCAACAACAATCAACTGATGGCCAGTCTTAATTCATCTCTACTCTCACTTGCTTCCCTCCTTCCCATAATGTGAAGCAAATCTCCAATATTAAATCATCTAGGCATTTTACAATACATCTCTAAAAAATTACCTCCCAACATAATGACATTATTAATGTGAAATCCAAAAAATTTTTTTAATTTTAATTGCTTATCATCAAATATCCAATCATTGTTCAATTTTCCAAGTGTATCATATACATCACATTTTTTTGTACACATTGCTATCTGTTCATATGCCTTTTGAGACTATTAATGGAAAAGTTCCCCTTCAGATTAAAGAATAAAAAATTTTTCAAGTTCTAACATTTAATGCTAGAAAGATGTGGTGAAAAATAATGTTTAAGTATTACTACTGAGGATATAAACTAATACAACTCTCTTAGAGTACAATCTAGCCATATGCACCATGTGCCTTAAAAACGTTTTTACTACCTGGTCAGCAATTTAATACTCTATACTAAGGATGTAACTCAAAATTCAGATAAAGTTTATGGACAAAGACATTTAAGGCCCTGTGATTTTTAAGAGTGAAAATCTACAGACTAACTTCAATGGAGGAACAGTTAATAAATTATCCATATGATGAAAGATCTCCAAAAAATAAAATAGGGAAATGTTCATGAATTCTGCTATGTGAAAAAAAGCCAGAAACAAAACCATACAGAGTATGTCCGCAACTAAATTTGTTTAAAGATATAGGGAAAAAACAACAAAAATGTTAAAAATACTTCTCTCCCTTCCCCTATTATTTCCTATTTTCTGAATTTCCCCAAATGTTCTATAAGATATTTCTTTTTAAATTGTGAGAAAGGAATGAAAACATATCATTGTCTTACACAATAAGGTCCTACAGGGACCTACATTCAATACCTTATAACAACCTATAATGAAAAAGAATATGTATATATATGTATGACTGAATCACTATGCTGAATATCAGAAATTAATACAACATTGTAAACCAACTATACTTCAATAAAAAAACTCAGTAGGAACATAAGAGGAAATTTTTAAAGAAAAAAATAAAATGCAATTGAAAATCCCAAAAAAAGACATCTTTTTCTAATTACACCTTTGAAAGTATTTAGTCTTAAATAATCACTGATTATAATAAGATATTTTAAAATTTGGGGAGATAGTGATTGATTTATGACCAGTAAAATGAACTGAATTATTTAATAGCGAATCATCCATCTTATATAACATCCATCATCAATTTGTATTCATTTTCTTCAGATATTTTAAAACTGTTCAGGTGTGGATTTTTCTCTAGTCACCACATCAAGAAAATAATAACAGCAATTAACTGCCTCATTACTGATGACACCGTTTATACTTTAAAAGGTGATTTACAGTCATCTAACATTCAAATCCTTTCTTACACCTTTTGAAAAATACTTGTATATTTTACCAAAAATACACAGAAAAATAATTTTGATTTTAAGAGCCAATATTATAGGGGCATAGACAGAAATAAACCAAGATATCTAAACAGCACTCAAAATAAATTTCATTCAAATCTTGTATACCTTTTCTCTAAAATGTCTAAGTCCCATTTCAAATGTGCAGCAACTTTAAGAGCAAGTAGTTTTAAAATACGATTCCTCTTGTTATCAGGCGGAGGCTGAACTTGATTTTGTTCATTAACTGAAGGTTTTGAAGCCTGTTCCAAAAACTGAACTATAAGTTGAACTGGTGCAGGATCTAGGATTTAAAAGAAAATAATTCTTGAATGTAAGTTTTAATAATGAAGATGCAAAAGGAGTCACTGTATTGGTTTTTATCCACAAAAGGAATCCAAACCGCTGCGCAGTTTTAATGACTAAAGATTATGATTTATAAGAAGTGTGCCTGGGGAATAAAGGAGAAGATCAGAAAGGGTGTAAGGAGGAAAGGATAACAGATTTGTGCAGAAGAAAGCACTTTACAGGGAAGAACATAACGGTTACAGATTTCCAGCTCAGCTGAAAAAAAAAATGTTAATTAGACGAAACAGATGCAACCTTCAGAAGCATTAACACTTAGTGGAACCTGCACCAAGTTACCTCTCTGCATGTTTCCGTCAATGCAATGAAGGACAATGTATCACTTACCTCACAGGATTACTATGAAGTCAGAATTAAATGAGATAACAGATGCGAAGCATTAAGCACAGTGCCTGGCACCCAGAAATACTCAAATGTTAGTCAAAAGCAATGAAGCAAAAGAACACAATGTAACATAGGCGGTAAAACGGCCCGAGTGAAGTACACTAACATAGCAGTCTCCACCAGTAAAGGCCAATCTATTAGACCGAACAAACCACATCTGGGTTCGAACTTCATCAGCAAAATACTATCCAAGGAACTTACCTTTTCATGCCAGTACCTCTTTCCAGAAACGGAGTTCTGAAAACTGGAGTTCTCCTTCCCTAACAGTATTCATTAACTGGGATATTAACCATGATCCTCATTATACAACCACCATCTCCCAGTTGTACAGCATTTCCTCTTTCAAAGATTTCTTTCTAATGTACAGCCCTACTTCGGAATGCATAATGAAGAGTCAGTAAAATCCCCATTGCAGAGGAATAAAACAGTTAAGTAAGAACCTAACTGCCGTCAGGATCAGCCCCAGAACAGCTGATTTCTCCCCATCTCCTCAAACTGTCCGGAGTTCTGTAAAAAGGAGGGTTCGAACCAGCCTCCCCAACCCAAGTACGCTCACAAGACCATCTCGCAGGGGATTAAACCCCGAACAGAAAAGGGGGCGGGTGCGGAAGGGCCTTTGTTTTGCGCTTTCCCTTGGTCTACCATCCCCACCACTGGCATGTTTAATGCTCAGCGAGGGCCGGGCCAGAGCTCAGCTCGGGTCCGCGCCTCCCAGGCCGCAGCCGGGTGGCCGAGAAGGCACGGGGAGAGGGAGCCCGGGCGGGCAGCGCCGGTGGCCGGGTCCCGCTCCCCTCGGGCTGCAGGCGCCGCGCTTACCGGGCAGGGCTTGCGCAGATGTTTCTCCCGGGCTGCAGGCGCCGCGCTTACCCGGGCAGGGCTTGCGCAGATGTTTCTCCAGCAGCGACTCCTCCAGCAGGAACTCGAACCAGCAGGTCTGCGGCGGGGTGCAGGGCCGGCTGGAGGTGGCCGCCTCCCGGTCCGCCGCCTCCGCGCTCATCCTGCCCCCGCCGCCGCTACCCCCAGGGACGCTTCCTGGCTCCAACCTGACACTCGGACGCTGGCCCCGGGCCTCTGAAGTGCGGAACCGCCGGGAGCGAGGAAGTACTCAGAGCGTCCCGGAAACTCACACAATCCAAAATGGCGGCAAGGCCCGGCCGGAGCTGGGGATCCTGGATCCGCCTACCTGCACCACGCCGCGCCTCTGGACCAATCGTTGTTCGAGTTGGAGAAAGAGGGCGGGACCTATCGCCAGACAGAGCCGCCTCCCGGTTGCCATGGGAGACGGCTTGCGGATGGGTAAACTGGGTCTCTGGTTGGTTTGCCCAGTTCCCTGGGAAATTCTCAGCGAGAAAATGAAACAGCCTATCTGCAGGCCTCAATGTCTTCTTAAAAGCCTGGGGACATTTCACGTTAAAACTGTGATCCTGGTAAAGTTTGTTTTCAGTGCTTTCAATTTTCACATTTCCATGTCTGATATTTTTCTCCCACTTAGGTCCTCTCAGTGGATGCGCCCTACTGTCTGGGGCGCTAGCGTCCTAGCCCCCTTTCCCAGACAACTGACGCTGGACATGAGATCCAGCTTTTTGGCTACTTCTCAGGACTAGCTCTCAATATTTAGCGCCTACCTAATTTTCTTGAAATCCTGGCTAGAAATATTGTTAATCCCATTTTACACTTATTTCCATTCTGTAATGTTCCTGTGATTTTCATTAACAAATTGACAAAAGCGTATACATAGATCCAGCACATGATTTATATATTAAGAATGCAAATCTCTCTAAACCTTAGTTTTTATATATGTAAATCAGGAATTAAAATAGTGCCTAATCTTAGGGTTAGTAAGAAAAATCAGAGGGGAAGGGATAGCTCAGTGGCAGAGTGCCTGCTTAGCATGCACAGGGTCCTGGGTTCAATCCCCAGCACCTCCAATAAAAAAAAAAAAAAAAAAAAAAAAAAGAAGAAGAACAAGATAGAGCAATTTGTTCAAAATAAAGGTGAACTTTAAAAAAAATAAGAAAAATCAAAGACAGATAGCATAGGGAAATATATCCAATAACTTGTAATAGCCTATAATGAAAAAGAATATGAAAAGGAATATATAACTGAATCACTGTACTGTACACCAGAAATTAACATTGTAAACCGACTATAGTTCGATTTTTAAACAAGTAATAAAAAAAAAGAAAATCAAAGGTGGAACTTGATGACACAGGTAAGCTTTGTAAACAAGGCCTGCTATCTAGAAACATGGACAAAAGTTAGTTAATATCACATAGTGATTTTTTTAATGTACATGATTCTAATTTTCTCCTACAAACAACCCCATTATACATCTTTTAATCAATGAAGACACTGAAGTTCCAGAGTTACCATTTGCCCAAGATTTCCCAACAAATTAGGGACTGAGCCAAAGCTTTGGTGATCTTTCCACTGTACCCAGGCTGCTTCCAACATTGGATAGAGAGGATAACACTGATGGCTTATTGTCTTTGCCAGAATGAAGAGATAAAGCTTTGATAAATTTTGGGGAAAATAAATGAAAGTGGCCCCTCCATAAGTGGAGGTAAATAAGTGCTTCGATGGCAACCATTGCCTTGTTCTTTTCTTCCTGTACCATCTGCTTTCTGGATTCTGCCCTGCCTCTTTCCCACCCTTTCATTCTGGTGTTCCCTGGGGTCCTGTTTTTAGTCCTCTTCTCACTGTAAAAACCATCCCTGGGTCACGTCCTCCATTCCTGAAAGTCTATCCTAGGCCTTGAAGTCCACAGTTTGGAAATCATGTATTAGACTAATAAAATCATGAGGACCTAAACTAATAAAATACAAACGGAAAGACTAAGTCATTATTTTCACAGAAAATTTGGCACGTACCATTCACCATCTGGGCATGAAAAACTTAGGGGAGAAAGAATGACTCCCATGTTTCTGACTCCAGTGCCAGGGTGGATGACATGTGTCTCTACTCTCTATCAGTATAGGGAAGAGCTAGGGGGCAGCTTTGAAACTCATGCTGTAAGTGATGAATATGCACCACCTGTCAGGTGTCGAAATGGAAATATCCAGTGGGCACTGAGCGCTATAACAGATGATGAGTGTACAGAAAAATAATAGCTGGTAATACTAGCAAACTCTCCTTGTGAACTCACTACATGTGGATACTGATTTAAGCACTTTATGCACTGTCTTAGTTCAAGCTGCTATAGCCAAGTACCATAGACTGG